CGGGCTGTCGGGAGCGGTGGTTCAGCGGGCGCGGGGCGGGCTACTGGGCTGCGCCGTCTGAGCGTGTGTCCCGCCCCGCGCAGGATTCGGATGGGGAGCGCGAGGACTCGCCAGCCGCACGCGCCCGGCAGCAGCTAGAGGCGCTGCTCAACAAGACTATGCGCATTCGCATGACAGATGGACGGACACTGGTCGGCTGCTTCCTCTGCACCGACCGCGACTGCAATGTCATCCTGGGCTCGGCGCAGGAGTTCCTCAAGCCGTCGGGTCAGTGCCCGGGGAAAGCACACTGACCTGGGAATGTGGCAGAATCTCATGCCAGGCATATCCCCTTCGGGGCCTGGCTGCACCCCTTGTTTTCTGGGGCTTGTTTTCGGTCTCAGAAAGGGCGGGACCGACACTGGCCTGCCTGCCTGACGTTCTGACCCTTCTTTGCAGATTCTTTTTCTCCTGGGGAGCCCCGTGTGCTGGGCCTGGCCATGGTACCTGGACACCACATCGTTTCTATTGAGGTGCAGAGGGAGAGCCTGGCGGGGCCTCCTTATCTCTGACCACGGTGGAGCTTGCCTTTCAGCCTTCATTAAACCTATGACCGAAGTGGCCTGTGTGTGTGTGTAGCTGGGATGCCAGGGCAGAGCTAGCACACCCTACTCCTAGAGGCGAGGGTTCGTCTGAGATCAGGAGCCTCCTCTCCCAACCAGGATGTCAGGGGTACTAGCCCCCCAAGTTCAAGGGTGGGGACAGAGTCGTGGACTAGCAGGCCCCTGGGTGGATCCCTACATCTTCCCTCCCACACTACTGCACCAGAATGTGGCCGGAGGGGGTGTCATCCTGCTCCGGAAGGCCCATTGTTTCCCATCCCGGCCTGGCAACACTGAGTTCCTCAAAGCTAAGGTCAGAGAACGGGCTTGGGTCCCCAAGGGGAGCGGGCCAGGCAGCTGAGATCAGGCCCCCTCCACTCTACTGATGGGGAGGTGACTGTGGGGTCAGGGACAGGGCCCTGGAGTCTGGCCAGGAAGAACAGACTGGCGCAATAAGGGAAGGCCTGGAGACAGGGATGTCTGCTGTAGGTTTCCTGCTCCTGGGCACTGGGCAGGGGTGATGGGATGTGTGCCACCCCTCTGTTCAGAGCCCATTCAGTTCATTAATTCTTTATTGACACGTAATCACTTTTCCCTCCAGCCCCATAAATACTAGAGAAGCTGCACCAGAAGAGGGGGAAAGGGGAGCACAAGGTTGAGTTGTCCTATCCCCAATGTGGGAGAGGAGGGAATGCAGGGTCCAGCCCAGATGTTCACGATCCAGATGTGTGTAGTGGGAGGAAAGTGGGTTTTCCGAGGTGTGGGACTTTTCAGGAGCGCTGAATGGTGCGGTTCCCAGGAGGGAATGCTAGGACACCTGGTTCAGGCAGGGGTAGGGACAGGCCATATCAGAAGATCTAGGGGCATCAAGTCCTTAGGCAGACTGGGAGGGAGGGCAGTCGTCAGATTGTTCTTGACTGGAGGCCTCTCAGACCCAGACCTTTCCTGATGTGGGAACCGCCTGGGACCCCGGTGAGGCCCGAGTTTGCCGCGGTTGCGACGCTCGCCGGCGCCGATAAAGGGCTCGGCTGTAGGGCACAAGGCAATCGGCTAGGCGGAGGCGCAGGCAGAGGCGGCGGTAGCTGGCCAGGGCGAGCACGAGCAGCGGCACGAGGAGTAGGAATCCGGTGACCAGCAGGGCCGTGAAACCCGGGTCCCGCAGGTGTGCGGTGCAGGGGGGTGCCTGGGAGCGCAGGAACTGTGGGAGAAGAGGGGGCGTCAGGCCGAAGCCGACCTGGGCCAGACCTTGCATGCAGCGGGAACAGCCCAGGAGAGAGAGGTTGCGGCTCAGACCCCACCGCCAGCATCACCACACACTACCACCCACACCGCCCCCTTCCTGCTTCCACCCCGGGGCGCAGGCTCACCTGGGAGTGGCAGAGGAAGCCGAAGCCCAGCATGGTGACAGCGGGTAGCAAGATGGTCCCCAGCACCAGCGCCAGCAGGAGAAGATTGAAGGCGGCCACTAGCAAATTCTGGGCCGTTACCAACACAGCACAAGCCCAGCAGTCCAGGGGGTCCCGGGGTTCTGGGGCCCCACCAGGAACGGATCGCTGCGCCCCTGGGACATCCGCCATGGCCCGCCTGGCTCCAGCCCCAGCCTCTCCCCACCCCATCCCCCCTTATCCTGGAATGCGGCTCCAGGATTAGGCACCCCCATCCTGAGGAGCAGACCCGAGCTCTGGACATTCCACAGGCGCCTCCGGGGAGGGGCTCACCCTCCCGGGGTCTGCGCGGCCCCTCCCCATCAATCACGGTCCTGCAGCCCTCCCGGGACTCCCTGCTATCACCGGCACGTTAGCAAAACAGAACTTTTTTTCTGCTTTTATTTTTAATATTAATATTCTCACACAAAAAAAATCACCGAAAATAGGGGAAGGTTGGGAAGACCCCTCTGCCCCTGGGGCAGAGAGACAGTGCAGTGCGAGGGGGCGGGACTGTAAACCCCCCCACCCCTCCGCAGCCCCAGCGTGGAGGAGAAAAAAACAAAAGACAGAACAAAAATGAAGCCCCAGAGAAACTCACCCCGGGGTGTCCCTGCCCCAGTGAGGCCCTGGCCCTGGGCTGTTTCACGCTTACAAAGAAAAGGGGATGGGGATGAAGGTCCGTGTGTTTAAAAGTGGCCGGGGCTGGGAAGGACGGGGTTCCTTTTCCTCATAGTTCTTTCTTTAAAACTTTTAAATTTTTTTATTTTATTTATTTATTTTTTTTACAAAATACCATTTCAGTTCCCACTTCTTCCCCTACAGTACAGGAGTCGCTCACCCTCAGGCGGGGTCGGGGTCGGGTCGGGAGTGAGGGGACTGGTCCGAGAAAGTGCAGGACGTAGGGGAGGGGAGCGGGTTTGAGCACCATGAGAACCCGGCTGGAGCCGCGGGCGGGCGGAGAGGGACGGGCCGGGCCCGGACACACACTGGGGCACAGGGAGAACCGCGGCGGGTGGTCCCTGGAGGGGCGGGCGAGATGGCTTGGGGGTGCGGGAGGTCGGGTTTTCCCAAAAATGAATAAATAGAGGTGAGTGGGACTGTTATAAATTAAAAACCAAAAAAAAAAAAAAAATCAAAAACAAAAAAAGAACAAAAAAATACAAATCATAACCAAGTGAATAAACGAGACATGTACAGGGTCACAGCTAGCGTTGGAAGTAAAAAAGGAGGTTCTGGGGAGGGGTAAAGCCCATAGAAGAATCTCATTAAAAACCTCGGCTGCCGTACGGTC